CAGTTGTATTTCATGAAATACATGTATTTTAATAGTTTTGACTGATTTTCTGATGTTAAAGGCACATGCTTAAAACTAATTTTTTTCTTTAAAGTAAAACTGTTTTTTGTAATTCAGTTTAAGTACCACTTCCAGCATCATTCTTTAGAAGGAAAGCCTGTAATCCCAGTACTAAGATAAGCAGGTATCAGTGAATATTAACAGAAAATCATGACAATTGTTTATTACAGAAGGCATTCATTATGGAAAAAGTTAACTGAAAAATAAACTACTATTGCAGCCTCATTGTAGTTCAGTATTAGTAGTTCTGACCCAAGGAGAACAACTTTGGTTTGTACTTGATTTGACCCCAAAATGTTGACTGAGGCTTCTTCCATTTGCAGATAGAAATTTCACCCAGAAGTTATTTTCTACACCTTAAAGAAATTTTCAAGTCAGACAGATTTGAGATAACTACTTTGGTTCTGACAATTTTTGAGGTATAAAACCAGACATATCTTTGTATTGATTATTTTTCTTAAATAGACCTGGACTTGTGCTGTTCAAAAATACTTAAGAATAAAAACATAGGGAAACTCTTTTTAATTAAAAAAAGTTATATGAAAACAAGTTCATTACCACAGGGGGAAATGTAATGCTTCCTGATTGCCTGAGCTATCCTCAAGTAATGCTTCCTCTGCAATCTAGGCCTTAAACTAGTAGAACTTCATTGTTCATTATATTTATCCACATATATATTTAAGTAAAAGTGTCTAAAGACAACAATATTTACATTAGATACATGGAGACATGGAATTACATATGACAATGTAAATCACAGTGACTGAAAAAGCTCATTTAGACAGTTAGAATCAGGCATTACACTTTTTGGGTGTTTGTCACCTATATTAGGACATAGAACAACAATGTATACAATTTAGTTCCCGTTCTATTATTAGACGTGTGTATTTCTAATTCACAAACTCAACACAGACGCAGTCTGCAAGAAGCCTGATACACTACCTGTGAATCTGACTCTCACTCAAAATCTTAATTCCTTTCTCACAATATGGATTTTTAAACACATAGGACTATTGCGCTTATTAAGATAACTAGAAGGGAGTGGAAGAATGAAAGAAAGGCATACAATGCAAAATTAAGAATTGCTGCTGTTCAGACAAACAAACCAATTAGTAAATTCAAATGGATGAGCCTGGACAGTGAAGGATCAGGTTCCAGATCCCCCTCTTGGGTAACAGGAAGGGCAAAAGGAAGCTGGGAGAAGGGGAGGAATAACAAAATGTATGATCTATATTCAGAAACACTATGAAAGGAAGATGAAAACACAGGTGATGAGGCAAGCAATATGATTGGGTGGTCTTAGAAGGTTTTAAGAGTTTTAATAATACTTGGCTCATTCAGGATGACCATGGTACGTCACTAATATTTACAGTATTCTATTACTAATGTCTGTGTTAGCATGTAGTTGTCAGTCTATCAAAGGCAGAGAGATTAATCCTAAAGGTCATTATCAGTAACATTTTCAGATCAATTTTCTAAACAGCTTGATGGACAGCAAGAACCGTGGGTCTCCCCCACACCGTACCTCCCATTTCTACCTCCACTCTTGAAGGATCATAGGAAACATTTATTGATATTTTGCACAAGGCTTAGCTGAACCAGTGCTGGATATGACAAACTGTTTCCCTGGACCACATCACATTAACAGATACAGCAGCTTCTCCACCCCCCTCCCCCTAAAGCTTAGGGCAGAAAGCAGCTCTGGATGTCCTTTCTTCTCACTACAGGAAAAATAAAAATATAAAAAAAAAAATCACAGGATTCTACAGTTCAAGATATTATCTCTATAGTGAAATACTAATATTAATAAATTCTGAAACCTTCAAAATACATGTCATTCCTAGCTAGTAGCTTCTAGATTTTCCTCCTTTATTCAGGATAGCCACCCCATTATTTGCCCTTTATACCCAGTTCAGAGAATCATTTTCCATGAGAGCAAACATTTCAGAAACAGATGCTGTACTAGAAACTTGTCCCAAGTAGTGTCTGGATGGTTGCAGGCACCCAGGAGCACCAAGTCATTTGTTTTTACCATCTGTTCTATTTCCCAAAGCAATAACTTGTATCTTTTCTTCTTGATTAGGTGGTCTACTCTAGAGCAAACTCTAAATTTAAAATATGCTTGATTTTCCCCTGCCTAAGTTTTTTTTTAAAAAAGAGTCTCATTTGAGCTCATTCTCTCTCACAGCATATACAGTTATATTTTTAGAAAGTATCTATACATTTTTTCTATGTCTACATATCATATGTGAAAGGTACCCCATTCTGACACTCTAGTCCTAAACACCCCATTCTGACACTCTAGTCCTAAACACATCTATCCTACTACTTAAGGTATTTTACAAGGCAAGTTATGATTTAGCAAAATTAATTCTAAGTGACTTACTCTCACATGTTTTTAAAAACCTTCTGAAACGAAGCTTCCCTTCCCTCTCCTCTGCTTGACACTCTCTCACTTGAACTTTTACTCCTGGACAGTCAAGGTACACATACGTAAGTTCTCTGCCATTTTTGGCAGTATTTCATTACAGAATCACATTACTTCATCTCCACCCACACCCACCCTGCCTCAGCCTCCTTTTGAAGTGTAGCATTCTTGCACTCTTCTCCAAGAACCCTGCTTTTAATTGTATGAAGTAACCATTCACCCAGTTGACCGAATTCACCAATTCTCAGACACACACGCATTTGTTAGATGCATCTTTTTCTGATTATCCCTCCCTCTAGTTTTCTAACATAAAACTGGCTGATTTTATCTCCTCTCAAGAATTTAGCAGGCCTTTTTGTGCAAGTCCTTTGATTTTTAGTAGTACCCGCTCCAGAGAAGAGCAGCTCATTTACAATCACATTCCAGCCACCAAAATAAAAGTAACTTCTACTGCTTCATCTTTAAATTACCACTTGGGGTTCAGAACTGAGGTGCAATGATTTATACACACTTCATAGCATACCCTGAGCCAACTATGAAAACTCTCAACATCTTAGTCATTCAGTACAAACTTTTTTCTCCTAAGCACCATCTCCCCATGTTATTTTCATATTCTGTATGTTAACAAGTCTTATCATTAAGTCTTGAAACAAAAATGACATTTTGTTATGTCTCACACATTTATATACATTAACCCTTCAGGAACTTAGTTTACGAGCATCTTTCATAGCACCAGTGGCATTTCTCCGATACTAACAAGGTCAGTACTTTCAGTTCTGACACGTCCTTTCAGCTTCATTTATCTATTTCCCTGTTCTGTAAGCAGTTATGTTTCAGGCTTGAACAGATAGAGTCCTCACACCTAGAAACACAGGGACAGGTAATGTCCTTGTTACATTACAAAGAGGAAACTAAACCATTCCCAACACTACAGATAATACACTTCTTTCGACAGATCCATAGCAAAATAAAAAAAAACCCACTTAAAAACAAGTTTTACTTTAAGTTCTTATAAGATATTGCTCTGGTTTTGTTCTGTAATTGTCATTGATCAATTCAGTAAGTCAACTTCTACAACAATAAACTGCCCTTTAGATAAACAACAATTACAATAGCTGTACATATAAAAATAACACAAATAACACTCACCATGACATGATGCAATCCATAGTACATCAAAATGTCTGCTAAGGTAAAAACGTTTCCTGCAAGGTAGACTTTATCTTCAAGGTGCATGTTAAGATCCTAAAAAGGAAAAAGTCATTATAGTGCTGTAGCATTGACTTTGTAAGACACAACACCAAGGCGATTGTTAAAAATAATAGAAAATCTCCTCTGGAGACCACGCATATAAAATAAACGCCAGCTTTAATTTATCCCAATCCAGCAAAGGAGAAAAACATTAGAAGAAAAAAATTCTAAGAAGTGTCAAGATAATAAACTAAAATATCATCATTCTTTGACAGTGAGAATGCAATAAAATTTAAATGTTGATCTCTAAACAGAGTGCTGGCCATCCTGCTGCTGGCACATAATTTTTCATAATTCCCCCACTTTTATCCACTCAAGTTTTTGTAACTACAAGTGTAATTAATTTTACATATTAAGCTGACTCCACAGAAATATTTTAAAATCTGTCTTTTCCTGGCTTCAAATTACTGGAACTCAAGAAAATGCAAGAGTTGGGTATTTTTTTTTATTAGTGCATATGACTCAGAAGCACCGCTGTTATATGTTTAACATCTGGTAAGTGGAAAACACAGTCCTATGATCAAAGGAGAGCACGTGGCTCTTCCAGCAGCAGCTCAGCTTTTCCCCTCCTCCAGGACACACTCAATGCAGCTGGTCAGCAAGGTTCTGGAACTGCAAACGTGCAAGGGAAGCACAAAGGGATGGTGGGGTGGGAGACAAACAATGTGTTTCAAGCTCAATGCCCAAAACTTGGTCCCCATCAGCCGGTATCACTGGACACCTGCTTTTATTAATGCTGAAATCACTGCTAGGAATTCTCAATGACTGGTGCTGTCAATTCAGTTGCTACCTAAGTCCATATGAAGAGAGCATTGCTTCAGCATTTTAAGATCATCTCTCAACAATCCTGTATCAGAAGCTATAAGGATGTGTAATAGGCAGCGTCCATTCAGGTTCAGTGAATAAATACTTCAAAACCATACTACTGAAAAACCCTTTTTCATGGCTTTTTGTATGCAGTCATTCTCTGCTGGAAAACAGGAGGCTGACAGACTCGTCATTGCTCCAGTGTATCACTTCTGAGGAATACAGGCATCACACATCAGCTCTACCTCTTTACCTGCCCTTCCTTTTCTCCACATCTCACCTACTTCTCATCCAATTAATGAACCTTTCTGCACCCTACTTCCCTCTAGAGGGAAAAAAAAATGTAACAGCAAACAAAATTATCTACTTTAACTCTGAACCCAGCATAAGCAAGCTTTAGTTTTATATATTCTTTTCAGAAATGCAGGAAAACAGTTTCCCAGCTTTTCCCTGGGTTTGGAAACTCTCCCTGTTAGTATTCCTCCACTGCTTGAAAAAACTTGTAGTAAATGCACTCTTTTTTCCTTGGAGATCTCCTTAAGCCACCCCCTCCCCATACCCCAGACACAGAAGCAAGCAGCTTAAACATAACTAACATTTTTCAAAACATCCCTGAAATGTTTTTTCAGTCTCAACTACAGCACATTCCATTTTAAGACAATCTTTTGTTTTCAAAGAAAGTCTAGGGCAAGGTGAAGGGGGTTAAAAATTAGTGAAAAAGTTAAAGTTACATTTAGCCTTAAGCACATTGCAGTTTTTGTGGTTCCATTATTTTACTGATGTGGAGATACCCTACAGTAAAAAAAAATCCTATCTCCTATATGAAAAAAAACACCCAAAACCAAACCACACAACTAAAACGCCGAGACTTCAAGACATCTGACCTTGCATTTGAATTTGACAAGTTTGACTCCATTATGCCACCTTACTATTTCTTTGATAACCTCTTCATGACAGGACTCCTGTACTTCTGTAATATTTAAAAATCCTCATGTCTGCTTTGATTTCTTTTATTAGAGCAAATCAGGGAAAAAATATAAACCCCTGCATAGTTAGAATTCTGTAAGGTCATCTGCCCCTGGCTATGCAGCTTTTCTTTAGACTGGTTTACTGCTTCATTCATGTTAGTTAGCTCTCAAATTACTTTAAACATGTAACTACAGTTCTGTGGCATTTCACACAACACAAAGGCAAACACAACGTTAAGAAGAAAAAGCTTTCAGGAAGAAAAAAGTAATACCTAGAGACCTGGTTACTAGTAAAAAAAAAAATAAATCAAACTCGTCCATTCTGATGCAGTTTCTCTGACCAGCATTTTTCATTTTGATTAACCAGAAACTCATCATGAATTAGAATGAGAAGCAATGCCACTGAAATAATATATATCCCCTCCCTCCTGTCCCTTCTTCTTAGTCTAGGCTACGGAACCAGGATTTTGCGAGCTAAAGAGCTCATTATCTCTGAAGGTACAATCAACACAGTTATTTCACTGCTCAAAATTTTCTATTTCTGTATCCAGGAAGTTATGGCATGCTAATTCTTAGTTTTATACATCTTCAAGGGATAGGCTAGTTTCTATGCAGGAATACTGTTCATCCAGTTGTTCAGGGTGGGTCAATATTGCACAAAGATGGTTTAATAACATACAAAGAATAAATTTGTTCTTTGAATATACTGTGCACACTCTAAAAATACTCATCAATAAAAAAATCTTAAAACTTTAAAGGCAAAATAAGCCCCTACAGCATAAAAATTATTTATTCTGCTTCATCAAATTTATGAAGTCAGTTAACTGAGCAAATGGAATTTGACAAAAATGGTTTAGTCTTGGATAAATCAGCATTAGTTTACAATTCTGTTTTCAAACATGTACTTTCCTCCCATAAAATACAGACAGATATTCTGAGTTCATTTTGTACGTCAAGCTAGTTCAGAAACACCACAGTACAATTGTATTTTCATGCGCACTAGGCACATTTAGTCAATCTTGCCTCATAGGTAACACTTCCCATAGATGATTATATTATTGGCTAGTAGCCAACTATGTTAAAACTCCTGAAAGTCAACCTTTCTTAACTGACCATGGTGTTAAACTCAAATAGCATTCCTGTCCTGGAGAGATTAATGAAAACAGAAATTCAAACACAGTTTTGCATTCACAATACACACAGAAAATTCAGATCTGCTAGTTGTCATTTGTATTAGTCCTCCATGTACTGAACATCACTACTGAAACTGATGATGTATATACAAACCCAGTATTAAATGACCGAAACAGTCTTGGAAGTTGCTTGTAACTATATGAACTTCTTGTTGCAATCCCTCAGGAAACCCCTTCTCAAGTTCCAGGCAAGTATAAGGCATAACTGCCATTTGATGCACTAAAGTGCATCGAACAACTGCAGCAATTCAAATCCCATTTTTGGGAATGGGGGGAAAAAGCAACAGAAACAAGAGATGCTGCATTATCTGTGGACTAACTGACGGCTTTCTATTTGCTTGTTCTAGGGAAAAAAATCCAATTTACAGCCCATATCTAGAGTGATAGTGCAACACATCCCATCCATGGCACACTTCTGGCTACCCACACACCTTTTAAGTATGCAACCTAGTTGTCTGCAATCCAATTCAGCCAATTAAGGTGACTGAATCCCTTCCAGTCACTGCAAGTGGAGACAGCAGCTCGGAGAAGCAACAGTTGCTTCTTACAATGACTCAACAACTTACAGCCCAGTCATACTCTGATTTTGGTTTGGGTATTTTGACTACAACACCACACTGCAGGTGTCTGTGCTTCCCTCACACAGAAGCACATCCTTTCAGTCAGCAATATTCTTGAGGTCATTTATGCCCTAAGTGCCTTTATATCACACCATGCAAAGACAAAGAGCTAAGCACTCTCACACGCCTCAGGAAAGCCTCTGACAATACAGAACACAAGAATAGGATTCTGCAGCCATATCCAAGAAGAGCAGAACTGAACTACTGGGGCATAGCCTTATTTTTAATTCTAATGCAAGACTTTTCTGTCTAACTGTCAATCTATGAGCTAAACCTGGCCTGGAAGAATATTATATTTAACATACTGAGCTTCCTGTAAAAGACAGAAGAAAAATAATCAACAAATCTTGCTCAAATAATCAAAATTCAATCTTTTACACCTGTAAGTGCATAAAAACAACCTGGTGCTAACAGAAAGGGAGAGACATAAACATGGAAAGTCGAAGTTTAAAGAGCCAAAGTGGGTCAGCATCCCATTTAGAGGTCCATCAAGAAACAGTGTACAAGAACTGGATTAACACCATGGACAGAGCATGGGTTAACTTGCTTATCCATTTGTAGAAACAGTAACTTTTCAAACAAGCACACTAAAGAACTGAAGCACAGTCATTCAGATTTCTAATTGGATTTCATGATTACAGCCAGACAGCACAGGAAATTGAGACAAAACTACTTGAAATCACGGAACATTTTTTTTGTGAGCCACTGAAAGTAGTACACAAAAATTCTTGGTTGTAATTACCCTTCAGAGACTACAGATTTCTACATTTCTGTGGAGGCTTTTCTGTGAATTCAACTACAAACCCCCAGTTATTTAGAATATGCCTCTGTAGA